AGTCGTATTATATGTCTAGCAATCTTCATGACTTAGAGACCTTTACATATTTATCAACAAACTAAACATAGTGAATTTAAATATTATATTATAGATAAAGAAACTTTTATAAAATCATTAATAAATAAGCTACAAGTTTCTTATTTTTTGAGAGGGAAAATCGAGAAAAGGAATAAGATGTACTAGAATGTATTTATATACGTATATACCTCGCTCGAGTGTATTCGAACTGTAACATCTTATTGAATGTTCGACCGAGTACGAAAAAAACGTAAATAAATGTACATAAAATATATCGCTCGACAGTGTCAGATAAGGTTAAGTCACGCCGACACGCGCAACAACGAAACTCCCCAAGCGGTCTCGACGCAACTGGCGGAGTGGTGGGGAGCGGGGCGGCTGAAGTCAGCCGAGAGCCGAGCGCGCTTCCTCCCACCCGGCCGCCCCGATCGCGGCCGAAGATTGCCGAAGCGCGTGCGCCTGGGTTACGTTCCGCGCTCGGCTGTTCGCGAGCTCAGTTGTCAGCTGCACAATGGCGTCGTTGGTCTGTGCTCGCCCGTCTCGTTGCTGCCGCCGTCGTTTCTGAGCGGTGGGCCGGCCCAAAACGTTGGACCGTCCGTCGCGCGGATACCACGAGTCTCCTCTCTCGCGTACACGCGCGCGCTCTCTCTGTCTTTCTCTCTCGCCCCCTGTTCCCGTCTCGGAGGGATCTCGATCGCGGGGAAAACGAAAAATCATCTCGGCCGTGGTGTTTCGGAAACGAGACACGACGAAGCAAGACAGACGCGCCGCGTTCGTCAACGTGACGCAGCAGCCGACGTGAGAAGCGAGCCAAGAAGAAGACTCTCTGAGGTCTCGATCGCGGTGCCGCCCGCGGACGTCCAATCGTCTTAACCACCCACCGGTTCAGGAACGACGCACGGCAAAGCAAAACGACTAAGGGAAGCATGAAGGTAAAGCTCCGTCTCTCTCGTTAAGCGTGAGAATCGCGCGCGGGACGACGGGAATTGGTCGGCGCGTGTGCACCTTCCCCTAATTCTCTCGCAGGAAACGCGCTATCGACCGTGGAATACTACTTGGGGATTACTCGTTTCGGGGGTGGAGACGATGGTAGCGCGACAGTCCCGATCGTTGCCGCCGAGTGCTCGTGTACGTCGTCGTCGTCGTGCACCATGTCGCGCGGTTCCAGTGCAAAGTGCAGTGCTTATTGCATCGACGCTATTATCGTCGCGAGCTTGTCTCGGGCATATCTGCTGGTTGCGACAACCGATCTGACCTAATCGCGGGGTTCATTAAAGTTTCTCCACTCGAAGCAGCGATTACGACTTTAATTTTCGATGCGATAAAAGACATTTTACTTTCTGTCACATCGTCCTCTTTTTTTTGCGTTTTTTGTAGCGTTATCGAAAAATGATAATTATAACGATTATTCTTCCTCAAAATTATAGTTGCCTTAAAACGATAATAGAAAAGGATTTTAGATCATTTTTTGCATCGCCGAAATATCGATCGTTAATCGTCGCGTGTGTCAAGCATAAAAGCGGATGACGCCAGACGAATGCTGCGTCATGGTTTTTTTGTATTTCGTCATTATTTCGCAGATCTGGATCGTAATCCTTTTCTGATAAAGCCGACCGGATGTAACGATGTCAGTAAAGAAACATTCGCGAGATTCGTATCGAGGAAAACACGAATGTCTTTGTACTATTTAAATATACGAGCAATATTTTGAAATCGCGCTTCCCCGTTTTATTAAAAATAATCCTATTAAAAATTGTTCAAGCTGCCTAACATTTTTGCAAAAATTCGCAATTTAATTAAATCGATTCTTGTTCAAAAATATTTAGCTTCTTGTTTATTTCCATTAACTTATTGTTAGTATAATCAGTTTTACACTGAACGAGGATGTTTACATCGGATGAAAGATTTGACGCAGACACTAAAAACCGATATGATCTCAGAGGATTTACGTCGATGCCGATCTACGCGAATAATTTCTTTGGTTGTTTCCGGCAAAGGAGAACCGGTGCAAGATCCATCTCTTTCCTAATCTTGAGAAATTACGAATAGCCGAAATGAGAAAAGGATGAGAAAATGAGAGAGAAGGATGCTGCGAGCAAGGGTTGAATTCTCCGATTTGAAATTTTTCATCGGGCTAAATATTTGCGGTAAACGGGGACGGGATGATATTTGGCCATTTATTTCGCAAACTTGCGTCACGTTTCGGTTGCGCGCGCTATTAATGCAAACGGTGCCCGCAATGTCGCGTGCGCGCGCGCGCACGGGCGCGTGTGAAAATCGTGGTGCTCTCCGCCATTTTGACCTTACCGAAGGATATCTCTCTCTCTCGCTGGTAAAATGTACAGGCCGCCGGTTGCACGCGTGCGCGTGCGTTTCGACACACGCGGTGACGGCGACACTACAACGACGAACGCAACACTTGACTAATTCCGAGCTCGCGATTTCGCCAGATACGCGCGTTTCATTGAGGGAACGCACGTGGGAGGGGTGGATGAGACCTCGACAGTGCCCTGGGTTCGCGTACCTGCCGGCTATATCGGCGGCCACGAAACCGAGCACCGAGTCCTCACTCGTCGCGCAACTTTCATTCTTTTAATTCTTTCACAATTCGATTAAGGATTTTCTATTCTATTGTAATTACTTACACTCCTTTCGTTTCCCATTAAAAAAAAAAATTATGCGTAAAGATATTGCACGATACTTGTTCAAATTTGATTTATATTTATGTGCAGGAAACCTGTATTATGAAAAGAATGGTTAAAAAGATTAGCATTGTTAATGAGTTTAAAAACTTTGATTTTAACACGTGATAAAGAGCCTATCGATTATTTTAGAATATTAATCTTTCAGAGATATATTTCATTACTTTTTATGTATTAATGCATAAACATGGGATTTGATTTATATATTTTATGATATATATTCTTGCTTTTTAAATAATACAGCTTTTATTACTCCGATTTTTAAAAAAAAGTGTGATACATGATTAATCTAACAATTTCAAAATATTCATAGATGAATTTAAAAACCCGTTATAGACAGATCGGAATGTCGTTGCCGGACAATATCTCGAGAAATGCCAATAATCATGATTCAACTCCGGGCCTATTCACCTGTCGATACGGCTCTGACCTCGCGATTATCACGACATCCACGTGATCGGTGATAAAGTCGCTTTCCGCTTTGGAAAGTCCTCTACGTTGATAAAAACAAGTCGCGATTATTCGCCATCTCGTTTGTATCGCGCAACGAAGAGGAAACTCGAAACGGGAGGGCGTTTAAGGGGGACAGAGGGGGAAAGAGGTCGCGTTGCACAGCCCTGATCTTTGGAGCCGCTCAAGACTCGTTGCGTTGGTGTTGTCGACTTTTGCGCAAGTGCGTAGATATCGTAATAGAGGAGGTATCGCCAGTCAGCATCTGCCATGCGAATGATATATGATTTTTAAACGATACGATACAAAGCTCGTAAACAACCACGATTGAGTAATATCTCACTCAAAATTGTCTGACATAGCTATTTGCGATCACCAATCACTAAAATTATCAGGAATGCTTAAAAAATTCCGATAATGTAAGCCGCTAACAATGATGTGCGAATATAAATGAAAAATTAATTCCTCAAAAGTTTTTGCCATAAAAAAATTAAAACTTTTTTCTTCGCAATTATAGGGGAAAAAAGAATAATGGATAAGAGCTGGATTTTTTTTATGTTAATTTTATCGTCAATTATTTATCTCGTAAAAAATTGCGATTTATTTTGTCTATTTTGCTTCGAGTTTCTCTCTCGATATTCTGTTTAATCGTTAAATTCTTCGTTTTGCATACTCAAGGTCGGCATATAGTATTTCGTCACATTTATCGGCAATTTACTCGATGAAATGTTCGCGTTCGACTCTATTGCTCATTATCTTCAAGTTGTTAATTATCGTCGCTAACTCGCTATTCATTCTAAACAATGACCTAGTAATCATTTTTTAATTATAACAAGTATAATTTAAATAATAAGTATAATTTAAAATATAAACGTCAATGCATATATTCAAGAAAATAAAATTTAATTGTATTCGAACGAAATTTGCAACTTTGTTATTAATTCGTGAATCAAGAGAGTCGCAGGTATATTTTTTATTTATAAATTTTATTTCTCCCTATCGAAGGTTATTGTGAAAAAATGCTATTTCGATATATTATGAAAGATGGAATTATATATAATATTATATATAATTTCTCATTTCTCTAACGTCACCATTGATTCTATGAAAAGGGATATGGGAACTGTAATTTGATGTGAGATCGAATTCGGTTCGTTTTGTTGAATTTAAAGAAAAACGACGCTTCTACGACGAAGTCACGTGAAAATGAACATACACGGCATGCCGGTTGTACGCTTCGAGGAGCTTCCTCAAGGACGACCGCGCGATATTTACATATCTTGAATCGGCATTGAACGATTATGCGGATGATGAATGTATAACGCGCTAGTCGAAAAGCGATGTCACCCGCGGAAGCAAATTTCAGCATAAAAATTAGCTTTATTCGTTTGCTTTTGCTACGATACAATTGCCAAATTTTATCACAGCTGATTAGAGTTATTGAATAAATTTTTAGAAAAAATTGCGGTAGAGAGAGAAAAAAAATTTATAAATTGAGCAGAAACTCCTAAATTTCTTTCACGGTAAATCATACAATGTTTATACAATCTTTACTCGCTCTACACAAAAAAAATTACGTAGAATTATAAATGCCTCGATATCTGAAATGTATAGAAGATAAAAAAAAGTATTCTTATGAAAATTTTGAATATAAAATGAATCAATATGTATTTTAAAATATAATTTCCATATCGGACATTGAGGCACTTGATTAAATACGCATTAATATCTATTTATACTTTCAGCATATAAATTCACGTCTATTTCGATTTATTCATTAATGCAATTCATTCGTGCAATTATGGATTTCAATGATGCGGCGAACGGGTAAATTGTTTTGTAAACACTGTGGATCAACAGCGTGTCATCGACATTTATCAGGGGTAGCGGGGGAGAACAAGAGGGGAAGCGGAGTATTTACGATAAAATTACGCGCGTGAGTCATGATGCGAGTGGATCATCGCAGCCGCTGCTATTTCAGGCGATCTCGGATAAATTCAGCTGTACTCCTTTCCCTGGAGATCGAGGAGGGAAGGGGGGAGGGGAGGAATCTTTTCTCTCGCAAATAATCGCGACATTTTTCGCGTCTATTACCACCGGTCACGTATACATCTCTTCTTTGCCTTTGATCATTCATAAAACTGTCACGTAATTTCCTTTCGTCGCCACAGTTACCTTCGATCGCAGTCAGTGCCGGCTCTAGGCAAAGCCGACTTGTCGACTTTTGTAACAGGAACATTCGATGCCATTTTGTGACATAAACGTTACGAAAGTTTATTACGAGTAATCTCTTCGTTTTTGGATAATTAAACGTAATGCAATATCTCTATTCTACAAATAAAGTAAGCAAAACACTGTTACGTTCGTTAACTTTCTCTCGTAACTTTTGCAAAATTTATATTCATACTTTTCTTGATATTTATGAAAAACAATTAAGGCGTTGGAAATACCACACTCGCTTATCGTCTACATTTTTGTAAAAAATATTTACACTTATATAATAAACGAACGATTGATATTCATATCGTAAAATTGACTCGAGACAGCAAGATAATTCGAGCCTTCGTTGTCCCTGCGCGATATCTCCCTGACCTTACAAAGTCCCCTTCTCGACCGTAGAAATTGCGCATAAGGAATGTCGAAATGTCGCGTATTTTGAAATTGTCCGTGAATCATATTATGGACTGCGAACGGAACTATTGTCATTGTCGTGTCGTGCACATGCTTGTGAGCGTATAACATATTATAGGCGTAATTGTGGTGTAGGTGCGCCATGCCTCTTCTGCTATTTTGGCCAGGGCCAGCACTGCACGGATTACCAAGAGAGAATAAAATATTCCTTCTCTCTCGTGAAAGACACGACGACGAATCCGAGAACAAGACATTAAATAATGTCGGTTTATCGTGACTCTCAATTGTTATGATCTGTCACCGCGTTTCTAATTTTCTATAAAGATCGCACGCAATTGTAAAATGTTAAGCCATCGAATATCTTGTGTTTTAATTTAAATCGAGGCCTTAAAAGAGAGATAAAATCGAAATAAACTCACACGTGCCTCTAGTATTCTATTTCTAATACTCTCGTCCTTTTCGTGTTGCAGAATCAGTTCTCGACAGCGACCGACTGATTATCCACGAAGATCTCTCTCCGTCCAAGGACCCGGCGCAGCGACACCATTGCGAAACGACACTGCACGGGTTCCACACCTCCCAAAAGCACAAGTGATATTTCTAACTAATAGCTTAACTCGTTAGAGCTTATAGAAAGCCAAACCCGTGAAACCGAATCCACGTTGCGCTCTTTATACATACCGGTATCTGGATTATAATATTGCGACTGTAAATCCAAGTGACGCGCGAAGTGTGTTCAACGCATTACCATAATATCCGCGATCGCGCGCGTGAAGCAGGACGATACAATAGGAACGTTGTCCGTGCACGAGTGATACACCGAGTGCGGGCGCGCGTTTGAAAGGGACGCAACATGAGAGTGGCCAGGCAGCATCCACTGCATCTGCAAGTACCGACCCGTAGCAATAATGGCAAGTTCCTGGTCGGTCTTAACGGCGGTCAGGACGTCCATCAGCAGCCGTCGCCGCCCCAACAACCGGCCGGCGATGAGAACAGCGCGGTGGTGCCGCCGAGCTGCGTCTTTCCGAGCTGCGAGTCTGTGCCCACCGACCTTCACGGGGGGCCGACCATACTGGGGGATCGATTCCTGCTTCTTGGTCCGGCCGAGGGTAGCGCTCTTTATCGATGTGTCGACGTGCACAGCGGTCAGCAACTCGTTGCAAAGGTCAGTGAGAGATTTCTTTCACAAATTGTCGGCTCAAACTTGATAAGCAAGCGTTTCAAAGTCGCTCATCGACACGTAAATCGTTGGCTACAAACTTACATTCCAATATTATCAGTTTAATTAAGAAGTTAATTAAAAATTATCAAATAAGAGTCAGTGAGGACCTTACTAATTTTTTAATTAATTTTTTAATTATTATTTGAACTACGGTATTTATTTTTAATATCTAGATAAATAATAATAGTAATTTCTCCTATGCAATCATATATTATTATTGATTAAATAATATATGATTTTTTAAATATTCTGACATACTCTTTCATGTGAATGGCTTCAAGTCTCGCAAAATATTGAAAGATTTAAAAGTAGACTATTAAATAGAAAAAAATCGCAATAGTAATATAATGACAAAATTAGTCTAATAAACAGGTAATGCAATAAATGACGAAGATTTTCGTAATATCTCGCGATAACAACAACTTTTGTTATGAATTAGTCTTTTGTATAAGAAGTCTTGTATTAGCGGTGGCATCGCACGTGGATGCTTTTACAACGCACTGCAGCTGCCGAGTTTCCATCCCACTATTGTGGCATTATATAATGGAGTACACGGACGTAACGGTCCGCTAATGTTCGGGTCGATCGAAGCTACTACCGTAAAACTCGTTGCGAGATCGACGACGATGCAGCTGAACGCATTTGTCTGGGAAACGACTTTACGACTTCCTCGAGGAAGATTCAATTAATTCCTATCTTGGGCGATCTTTCATTTAATTGAACGAAAAGACGGATTTCCGTCGAGATATTTATCGGATAAAATTCGTCTGCGATTCCAAACTGAAATATTTTTGGCGTATCAAAATTGATTACGAGATATGAATCAACACTTAATAAAATTAATCCAAACACTTTTATCTAGATATACAGTATTTTAATAATTAAATCGGATGGTTAAATCTATGAAGGAAAAGATTTTAATTTCGAATATCAATATTTCATTATTGATAGATTAATCGATATTACGAGTGTCGTCGTTTTAAATCAAATTGCTCGCGAAAAAAATGCTTGGATTGTTTAATTGGATTTCGAAATGGATTTCTTTTTGCAAAAATTTGCTATGACAGATTAATATGCAAACTTGGGTAAATTTATGTGCACATGTACACCATTTCCTGCTTCCTGCTGAGTACACTTATCTTTGCTTGATTGTGATTTCGCGATCGTGCATCGAAGGAATTCGTGTATACTATTTTTTTTAAATATAAAACGTAGATAGAAATCTCTCGAAAGGAGACTAATAAACGTCATGTAATACGTTTATTGCGTGGACCCTCCCGCCGCGTTTCCATTAACATTTTACAATCGCCGCGCGTTATACAATGAGCGAACTGGCTTACATCATCGCGCTGCGAACAAATACAAGGTTGTGTCACCTCGTGTCCCGTCTCACCTCTCACCTCTCGCATATCCGTCGTATATCGTCACACTGTCCGTTATTCATAATCGCGGACTAAAACCACGGCCGTTTAATTTAATCGACGATTACACGAGAGCGTCGCGTGACGCACGCTTTCGCAAACGTGTCCGCTTTGCAAACCACAAGAGTTCGTGATTTCGAAAAAAATGGGAATCATAGCTATTTCGGAAAATAGAGAAATCGCGATCACTGTTCCGACTTAATGTCATTAAACTCCTTATAAGGGTTCAAGGTTGACAGCGCATGAATATATCGGCTTATGCATCATTACGCTGGATTATCTATTTATAATTTTAGTTCTTATGTATTCTATATATTATATTTAATTAATCTGAAACATTTAAATATGATACTTTAAGCTTGCCTGAAAAATTTGGCCTCTTTCTTCTACATTAATTTTTTGAAATTTATCGAATGATGCGAGAAAGTTTTCGGAGTATCTTCGCGAGTTTACGAAGCCGACAATCGATGACCGATTGGCTCGATTTCGTAAAGAACGCACGGTGCTCTTATTAAACTAATGGGACTCGAATGTCGAAATGGTGTCAGGTTTCAACACGAGCCAGAGATGAACAGCTGGACGAGCAGAATATCAAAAGTGATCGACAATTTTATTCGCTGCATAAAGCTTACATAATGTAAAAATTGTTATCGATACATGAATCGATAAAAAATATTCATAAATATGTACATATATACAAAATTTTATGTACAATATTGATTAAATTCTTATCCATTTCCTTTTACTTTTTATCGCGTACATCAAATATTAATTTCAAACCTTAATATGTATAATTCTCTTAAATTAATTCGATATGTATCACAATATCTGAGATATGAATCCGATGTTAATTAGAATAATTAAGAGACTTAGAGCGGATGTAATTTTATCAATCTTCACATTATGTTCGGTGTCGTATGACGAAACAAAGAATCATGGCCAAGTCATTAACGATTATTTAAATTCACGAAATTAACGTTTTTTCAAGGATATCCGCTTGGAATAATTCAAGCGCATTGAACGATAATTTATTTCGTCCGAATTAAAATTAAACGATCGAAAATGGAATTTCCGTCAAGAACATTTATTAAAAAAGAATTATTCTTTCGAGTTTAAAAAAAATATGTCTAACAATATATCAAAAATAGATTTATTTGAAGTATAAATTTTGCATGTGTAAAATTAAGAAACCAAATTCCTCATTTTTAATGACTAGTACACATATCTTTATGGTTCATTTCCGAGCCGGTTTTAACAACGATGTATTCGGCTTCACTCAGGCGCTGACCGTGGGCGACAAAGGTTGCGAGGCGTTGCTACAGGCCCACCTTCGTCTGGAGGGCACCGGCGCGGCGAGCGGCGTGGCGGGTGTAGTGGAGGCACCTGGAGGTCGGCGCTATCTCCTCTTGGAGGGCCATCACGGTGACCTGCATGCCTACGTAAGGGCGCGCAGGAGACTGCGCGAGCCCGAGGCGAGACGGCTCTTTCGACAGGCGGCCAGGGCTGTTGCGACCTGTCACGAGTACGGGGTCGTGCTGAGGGACCTTAAGCTCCGGAAGTTTGTCTTCGCCGATGAAGCGAGGTAAGAGTCCCTGTAATTATAATTAAATCAGCCTTGAATTTTTATTCATATCACAAGCCTTGCTTTAATATTTTTATTGTTGTAAAGTCAAATATTCAATTAATCTTGCATTATTAATAGAAAAATGTAATTTTAATCTCTCTTAATCTTTCTTAAGAATTTCCTTTGTCAGTTTTATATTTTTCTATATTATTTATATTATGAGGTAGTATAGATTATTTTCGCATATAATGTATAGTAAACACACACGGGTCGATCGAAAGTATTTTTCCCAACAATTCATTGAAAATTGATAAATGACACTCGTCATCCCTAGATCGAAACGAAGATATCCATAGTATAAAGTTCGCGTTCGCTTTTCCGAGTGAAGGGAAATCGATTGCTGTGGGTGTGTTTTTCTCGCGCGAGACTGACCTCTCTGTTCTCGACGCAGGAAAAAAATACAAGTGAATATGGAAATGAAATGAATGCGAATCAATTCGTCGAGGATCCGTGGCTCTCCCTCGAAAAAAGGAGAGCGCGTTTCGCTAACGTTTAAATGTTCGTTTAGCATGCATAGATCGTATCGTATCAACACATTAATCATGAATAAATCAAATTTTAATTCCTAGACATGCACTTATAATAAAAATACAACTTATCATTTAGAAATTTTTGAGAAATTAATATTTTCTTCAGATCAGGCAGAATTTTGTTTGAGAAATAAAAATACATCTATAAATTTGAAGCTAAATTTTCACAAACTCGAGCAGGTGAATTAAAAGCACCTAGCGCTAGACAAACGATTACAAATCCTCCTTTGAATTGCGAGCAACGTAGTCTGCTATTATCCGCATTTATCATGCTTCTGTTATGTTCCTATTGGATCGAGAGTCGTGATTAAGGGTGTGTGCGAAGCCTGTTCTCGCGACATTATCTCGGTATTATTCGATACGACGACGCACCCACGTGTCGCTGCAACAGACAGGCATATGAGCCAAGCTAGGCCAGGCCGGGTGTACTGGAGATCGGCGAGAGATCGACTCATATGTCGGTCCGTTGTTGGCTAATCGCATTCCTGCCGCTCGGCGGATTGTTGCTACTGCTGTTGCTGCTGCTGCTGGTGCTGGTGTTCCCGCGCGTGCACGTTGAATAAGGATAGTCCGGGGAGTGATGCAAGCCAGAAAAGCATATTGGTTCATCGGCTGTTAGTTTTGAAACGTCGGTATAATTAGGAAACGCGTGGCTCGTTGGTTTCACCGGCGCGGTCGACGTTCAACACGGCGTGTAGTATCCTTTCCTCCCTTTCTCGCCTTCCCCGGATAAACGCGAACGCTTAGGACGCAAGCGTGAGATTACCGTAACGCATGCGGTTACGATATGTCGTTGGCGAAATTTTAGACAATTATGGGCTCAGCGAGAATTAGAAATTTAAATTGACGTATTAAATTTTTTTTACTCGAGTAACGTATCGTCTCCTTTTACGCTTTGCATCTTGACGAAAAATTTACGCGTCGGTCTTTTAAATCCTTCGATTTTAAGAGGAAGTGATTTGCAATTCATGCGAACGTGTCTTCTTGTTTTTTTTTAATTTATGGCATGCTTTGCACACGTGAGTTTTAATTTAATTCCGGATCTCTCGCGATGATTTCTCTCTCTTTCACGGACCATCCACAATGGATGGATTGAAACGATCAAATCAACCTTTTCCCGGATGCTGCGTGGAGTTCGACCTATGGTAATTGCGGATACGTCACGCGACGTCGTCAAGTATATAACGTTAGTTCGCGCTCTCGGTGAAAAGCATGATTCGGTCTCGTGACCGGATTTCTCTCCGCCACGCACCTTTCGCAATGGAACGTTGGTCCGGTTCGACGCCGAATTCAATCAGGAGGACCATTCATTCGCGAGGTTAATGATCCTTGCGATTAAATTCTCGGTCTCGAGTCTTCGCACGTGTGCGAGGCACTCTCTACTTCTCGAAGTAGCTGTAAATTTGTGACATCGACTTGAAACCTGAATTCGCATTTTTTTTTTACATCCGGGATTATTTACGAAGCATGAAAATGTTCATCAGTAAATCAGCAGTTACAAATCATCAATCTTAAAGCTTTAATTTTGATATTAATAACGCGTTAATTAAATCGCTATTTTTTAGGATAAATATATGACATGATTCTTATATTTAAAGAATCATTATTATTATTTTGTCCTGTATTTAACATAAGTATGAAATGTCATATGAGAATCATCTTCCTAAATATTCATATTTTCTAAGTATTCATACGAGATTCATATTTCATATTCATGCGACGTTATTTAGTTCCGGATTTTCCTGATCCAACACAAAGATTGATGTAATCGCGAGAATAAAATAATCGCAAAGTCCATCTTGCTATTGAAAACATTAATTCACGATTGCATCCGCGAACGTAGTTAAATAATTGACTAATGATTCTTATGACTTTCATTATTATTATTTTTTCTTTTAAATCCACAATCATAATATCAACAGTAGAGACAAGAATAAATTGATTGCATTCATATAAGCGTCGATTCTAATATCGAGAAACGTTTCGGATTTGTAAATTTCACGGACTGTCCAAGAAATCACATCGCGTCTAGAATCCGCCAAGAGGTTCTTGAACCCGGAGTGATATCGTGTTGTACTGTGCGCGGCTGGCGGTGAAAGTTTGCGAAGAAAGCTGCGGCCTCTCTCTTTCTCTCTCTTTCTCTTACTCTGCGGCCACGTTTGGTTCATCACAAATAGTCTAGCGTGCCATCGCGCTAGTTCGATTCATTTGCTCGTGAGAGAGGCCATTGACACTCGTATACGGATTGTCAAGATCGTGAAACGACTCTCTCGCGTGACATGTATGTTCACCAAAGATGCGTGTGACACTCGGATCTTCCGAAATGATGAGAAATCTCAACCACAATTTTTATTGAAATGTCTTGGAGAATATTCCATATATTATATTACATAAATTAATTTAAATTCTATTTTAATTAATTGACGTAAATAAATATATTCACCTTATTATAAATTCTTTTTTAATTAATATACTTATGAAAAGAATATAAAAATATGGATGTATTGTGAGACAAAAAATGGTAATTGATAGTATGCAATAGTTGAGATTAAAAAGAAGAATTTTAGAAGAATACATTTTAATTAATTGATGTAAATAAATATATTTTCCTTATTATAAATTCTTTTTAATTTATACTTATGAAAAAGAATATAAAAATATGGATGTAAGGCAAAAAATGGTAATTGATAGTGTGTAATAATTGAGATTTCTCTTCGAGAAAAAGAAGAATTTACATTTTATTCTTAATATAAAAATAATTATTTGACATGATGACAATTTTAATATGATTAAAGTTTCACTTCTTTCGATCATTTGTCTTTTCAATTATATAGACTTGTGCACAAAATTTTAAAATAAATATCTAGAACTACGATACTCTATAGGCAATGCTTAAAGTATATTTATGTACGTTAGATCTTGTTATAAATGGCTTAAAAAAACATAGAGCCGAGAAATATTTTTGTAGGAGCATATTTTTTTATCCGTAATAATCGGAGCGCTTTCTCGAGCTGGCTACGCCATTGCGTCCGACCGAATATCGTGGGCGAGACTACGAGAACTCACGTCGAAGGAGAGTTCAGAAGTTACCCAAGAGCCAAGAATATTACGTACACGCGCGACTTCCGCGTTGCAGGTTGATCAACGCAGCGGGAACCGCGACCAGAGAGCTGCGCTCTCCTCTCCTTTCCTTCTCCTGTCGTTGCGCCTTATTCCATCACTACCGACGACGGACTGAGAACAGCGATGGCGATGGCTCAATCTCGGTGTCCTCTTGCTAAATTGAAATACCTTGCCTTCGGGCGCGCGCGCATAAAAGGTTGCACGATCAGAGATTCTCGGTTTCGCTTCGCAAACTTGCGGCCGGATCATAGCCAGGTCGATAATAAATGCACGGTTTGGCGCAACGCATGCTCGAGACACGCGGAACAAATTTCGCACGACGACGAAGCAGAAGGATCGTAAATCTTTAGCAAGATTTAATACCCCGTTCTCTGTAGCTTGGTCTTTAATCTTCTCGATACTAGGTATCGTGTGTTATACGCCCTCGACAACTTTTGAATCGCTCTTGTGTATCCAAGAAGTCAAATAAGGTAAGATTAATGAAAGGAGAGAAAAAAAGGAGCTTACGTAAAATGCGCTTGTTTGAAAAGTGATGTAAGATACTTGTGTTGAGAAGTGGACCCATACATATTGACGCATTCTAATCTCTTTTTTTTGTCCTTACAGAACGCGGCTTCGCTTGGAGAGCCTTGAGGACGCGGTGATCGTCGAGAACGACGACGACAAGCTGACCGATCGGCGAGGATGCCCGGCGTATGTCGCCCCGGAAGTGCTGCGCTCCGGACGTGCCTATTCCGGCAAGGCAGCGGACATCTGGTCGCTGGGCGTGTTGCTCTACACGATGCTGGTCGGTCGTTATCCGTTCAATGACGCCGAGCACGCGTCCCTCTTCGCCAAGATCTCGCGCGGCCAGTTCGCCGTGCCCGAGGGTCTCAGCCCGCGAGCCAAGTGCCTGATCCGTTCGTTGCTGCGAAAGGAGCCGTCCGAGCGACCGTACGCCGAGGACGTGCCGCTGCACCCGTGGCTGTCGAAGCCGCTGCGGTTATACTCGTCGACAGCTTCCGGGAGCAGGTCCTCGTGCCAGGACCAACTCGTACCAGAGCTACCTACCAATCCTCAACAAGACTGACTCTCCTTCGGGGAAAGAATCACTAATCTGCGCGCGACGGCGTCACTTTCGCATCCTAGTGCTTCTCTCGCGCCGATAGCCGGGTCGAATTATCAGGCCGGGAGAGAAGAGTTAGCGCAATCAAAAGAAGGAGGGAGAAAAATAATTTTCTTTTAACACATTGGCTGTGTCCGTAGGGAATATATAACGGTAAGTTTCGAGTAAAATGTTTTGCGGTTTGTCTGATATAACGTAATCTGAAAAAGATGTAAACACATGTAAAGAGAATCGAATGATAATGTTTTCAAAAGAGAACAATGTGTAATAGAAGATTCTATTCTCAAAAAATATCGTAAGGTGAGAGATATATACAAGTCAATGTGTTAATGGCAGCTGAATCACACGCTTCACTCATATACGTTCAAGTCGCGCAATCTCCAGCTTGTATCGAAAAATTGTATCTTTTGTCTCGGAGACGCGTGACTGAAGGATGCTGGGTCCTCTTTTTTTTTTCGCCGACAAAGAACGGCCTAGAATAAGCTTCGAAGCGTATTAATGAGGAATGAGAATAATTGTTCTCGATGGAAATTTTTATATAGAGGAGAATAACCAAAGTCTATTCTAAATTCGATCCTCTGGATTATTTTCTTCGTTTAATGCTGTAATTTTGGAGTTGAATGAAGCAGGAACTTTAAACGCTAGATGATATTATGTCATTAAAAAATAAGTTCATTCTAGTCCCAAGATAATTCACGAAGCATCGAACAACGAAAATAATTAAAGGGATCCTCTGTAAAATAGCGTTTCGATTTTGGTCATTCTCCGCTTACAATTTCGGAGGCAACGTGACGCAAGTGATTAAAAGACAAAAGTCAAAAGTCTCTATTGGCTAAAGAATCTTAGATTCGAGAAACATTGCCATTACTTGGTCCAAGAAATCATTCGCCTTGTTGCTTAGAAGTATAATCGCGCGCGTGCGAATCTTTTGTGATAGAATCTTGCAGATTCTAAATGACGTATGTGATACAAAATATACAGGTTGTTTCATAAGCGGTTACTTGCGATCATCTCTGTCTCTGAAGTCCATGTATATTAATTATTATTGTAAATGATCGAATTCGATGTTTGTATTGTGCGTTAGATACACTCGAGTATATCCTCGACTTTCTCGATATTTCGCATCGCGCATCTACACGAGATGGTTTTTACGCTATACTGGTTGATCCATGTATGAAAAATAGCTATATATAAATTCGAACGAGCGACTGGAACGTAATGTAAATTCGAATATAATACTAGTGAGCTTTGTATAGTATAGTATATACATAGTATAAAGCGATGAATAAATGGGTTCAGAGATTGAGTCGGATTCAAATTAAAAATTCGCGTAAGTATATATATAAAATAATACGCGAGAATAATTGCTTAATAACGATTAAACCGTTACTAGAGCAAAATCGAATCAATAAACGAGTTTTCTAATCTAAAATCCGACTCATTCTTCCTGTATACCCGTTTACTTATCATCATTATATCACAGAGTCAATCAAATTTACTAAACGGACATCGAAGAAGGGATATTTCTTGTTTGAGCGCATTAAAATCTCGTTCTCTGACCTAGAAACATTGCCCGAAAAGTTCAAGACTGCTTGGACATGTGGCCTATACAATTAACTTTATTAGAGAAAACACGAATACATGTTGATCAGTGAATTTCTAACTTAAGAACAATAAAAATACGCTTCTGGATTACTCAAACGACGAGTATCCATGAATACATAAATGTGTTCATCAAGGGCAATGTTTTCAGGTAGAATACTTTCTAGTTAATCAAAGATACGAGAATTATCCTCTTTTGACTCAAATCTTTAAAGTCATCGCTTGCGCGATATATATATATGTTCAGCTCACTAGGTAAAATCGTTTCGATTTTAGAAACGGATAAAGTAAACGATCGACGATCTTGTATCAATTTAGCACATGAGGCTGCGCTTCCTATTTCGAGCAATTTTCTCTTAAGAATGACTCGTCGTAATAGATTTTTCTGACGAAATATTAAAAGATATATAAATATTAATTTGGATTGTCGATGAAATTTAGCCTCATGTGATTCAAAGCTTGAATTTGTACAACAGGTGACGATGAAACTCGACGAATTCTCGTTCGTACAACTACCGGTTTGAAGTTGAAGAGAAAAGCACAGGGATGATAAGATTGTCGATCGAGATTGCGACTCGATCCTTATCTTGATCCCTCACGTTTGACGAAAGTACCATGTGTTCTTGTATTCAAAATACATACCTACCTACCCGAACTCTTTTCTAACTTTCGCGAAAGTAAGTAAGAGACCTTTTTTCCTTATTATTTTATAATCCGCGTCCGGGACGACGTCGATCCCGACTTTACAATTCCTCTCGTATCATCTTAAGTCAGGGTACAAACGCCACACGTGTCCATCAAACTTTTAATTGTTCATAAGACACGCGATTAATCATTAAATCATTATCTAGGTGCGACAAGGGAATTTCCTCTTTCTGTATATAGGCAAAATAAAATGGCGTTTATGATGAAGATCGTCATATTTTCTATTTTGTTCAGTGGCCAATTTACGGTGAATTATCACACATGCGAATTTTCGATATTTTATTTTTTTGAAAGAGTTGAATTTTAATTTAAAATAAACAAATAAACTAAAAATATCAAATGGAATTTAAAAATCAAACATGCACATGTGTGTAAACATGATGTATATCGTTTATCTTATAATTTATATAAATTCCTTGATATATAATATTCGTAATTTATTATTTTTGATTATTGCATTTTAGATAAGATGCTCCTAATTTATTATACAACCAGAGATAAGCACAGAGTAATTTAACGTTCATTTTATTTTTCACCAAAGATTTGTTTTCCTTCTTCAGTTATACAAAGAAAAAAGTCACGTATTACACAATTTTTCGCATTATCAACTTATGTAACTCGATAAAGAACTTACCAGATATGTGGATTTCATAATGATCATAAATTATCTGTAAAAAATAAGAGACAAAGATTTAAATCTTTAAGAATATAAATAGGATAAAGAAATTATATAAGTATTGAAAGAATCTTTAGAAGAAAAGATTTGAATCTCGAAGAATTTAATATCTAAAATAACACATATCGAAACACAGTTTATCTCGAAAACGATAATTTTTGTTACTTACTCAAACTTTTTTCCTAGAATTCTCTTTCCAGCACGTCGAATAGAATTAAAGAGACGATATAATCGATAATTTTAAATATCAAAGAGACGGAATACAAAGAGATAACGGTATCGACGACCAATCAGCACACTACGTTGTTAGTATCGAAACCATAACGACAAATTCAAAAGCGACTTGAAGTTTGAAATTTGCGCTGTCATAATCTAAAGTGACGTCGGTTGGCGCAGCGAGCCGCGACGAGTGAAAAATGGCCGCGAACGTGAGAACAGGTGAGTGATGAATGCGACGAATTGTTAGTGTGCCGCGGTCACGTTTCCGTTTGCGATCTCGGTTGCGAGTCGTGGGCGTTTCCGTTGCGGAAATCCGGGACGATGACGCGTGTCGTGCGCGCATTTGGTCGTCTGTCGCCGTTAATGACCGAGCGTGCTGTCACGACGAGCGCGTCGAACTCGCGATTTCTCCGTGTGTGATTTCGGGAAATTTTCCCCCGCGATTATCAGCGGACGTGATAAGGCACGCTTCGCGTCCCGTTTATCTGCGTCGCGATAAGCCGCGTCGACGTATAGTGGGCGTACATCACGCATCGACAACGACTGCGACGCGAGATCGCATTCATGACGACGTATATCGTGGCATCTGTCACACTGTGCGCATTGTTTTGGAGGATTTTTCACAGTATCGGAGGTCGCGCACGAGTTGTGCGTGCGTGTGTAGATGCGTGTGTGTGTGTGCGCGCGTGCGTGCGTACCAGCGGGTGCGAGGAACGGATCGCGTGTTGCGTCGTTTGATCTGATCTGAGGTTGTCGTTGTCGCTTTCAGAGATGCGAATACCAACGCGCGCGGCGCCTCGTCCTCCTGGCCAAAGTACGACGCAGAGGGATCCGATCTGGAGCAGCAGGTATGTTCCTCATCATCCGTATAATTCTGACCGAAAATCGTCAGGTAACTGACAAGTTCTATTGTAAGTTCCCGCTGTCGTTCTTTATGACATTGTGTATCCTTGTTATGCTTCTAGTAATGACATTTTTGGAGGCAGCTTGATGACGCAACCCGTACAAAAGAAAAAGCCACCTCCTCGGCCGCCACCTCCGAAATTTAATCAGAATCATATACAGTATCAAAAGGATCAGAAATTAAGAAAGCCGGTAAGAATTGTGATTTATCAAATTTACATATAATTCCTTACGTAATCTATCTATTGTCATTGTGCGGAAGCATTTTTTGAGAAACACAGTATGTATCGATAAAACATATGCTTCTTTTATATAGCAGTATAGTAATGCTGAAGAATATATTGTAGGAAGTATCTACAATTCGTTTTAAATAAAAATAAAAACAAGTAACAAGTAAAAGCATGCTCAGAAGTATTTCTGTTTAAATTGTAGTCTATATTGTGTGTGGCAGTTCAATTTATTTGTTAATTTATTACTTATTCAATTTATTTGCTGTATTTAATATATATTAAATTAACAAATTCAAGTATTTAAATCTTATACATACTTTTTATTTTATGTACATTAGGCCAGACCAACAGAACTGCTGACTAATTTCTTTGGACGAAAGAAGCAAGAAAATCCTTTTTTGTCACGTCCTACCAATCAATTGCAGAATCCGACATTACAATCTACAAACTCTATGGCAGCGGTATCTTTGATAGATCTCAGTCCACCTAGATCACCAACATTTACAACTCGTTCCAGTGATGGAGTCAGCATCGACAGTTTTGGTAGTGATGGAAATTCTAATCCATCTGTGTTCACGAGTAGTGGTAACACATCGCAAACGGAAAGTGCCTTTGAAGATGATTTTGATTTTTTTGGTATGTCCACCAAAAAAATAACGCAAAATGATCCATGGCAAACTAAGACAACAATCCAAGATCCATTTGGACCTCTGGAAGAAACATGTTCAAGTGTGCCTCAAAGCGCTGGTGGCACGTGCCTCTTTCCTTTAAATTCCAACAATTGTATAGCGAATAATATGCCTTCCAATTTGATTGCTTCTAAACCTCTTATCACATCGATGCCTACGATAATTCGAGTAAAACCTCCTAAGCCTCCAGCACCAAGGATACCATTTAAGAAGTTCGAACCAATACCTAAGGAACCATGTATCGATTTTAAAGTTTCAAATAACAGTATGGTGAATAAATCATTGACGATAGATTTTTCTAACACCTGGCCTGATGATTATGAAGAAAATAATAGTCCATCGCCACCCATGCCTACAATTCCACCACCAGCACCACCTGCGGATTATTTGGCAGAATTAAACGGCGAGGTTGGCGTAAGTATTCTGTTATACATTTGAAGCTAAATAGTGTGTATTTAAGAGAACAAATCGTGTTTGTCAATGACAAGTATAATTTACAGGGAGAATCCAAAAATAAACCTTATGGTGTTGCACTGTATGACTTCCCAGCAACACATCCAGATGACTTAGCTTTAGAAAAGGGCGATATTGTGCAACTGATAAAAAAAGTCAACAATGATTGGTTGGAGGGAAGAATAGGAAATCGTCAAGGAATCTTTCCATTTAATTTCATTGACATTAAAATACCTCTACCAGGCTTACCGGATAACATAGTTACAGCACTTTATACTTTTCTAGGAGAAACCAATGACGACTTGTCATTTGAAGTATGAAAATTTTGCATCAAAAAAATTAAATGAAAAGATTCAATTGTATTACTAATATATATGTCTAATATGTTACAGGAGGGAGCAAAAATTACAGTCATATCGAGGATATCAGAGGATTGGTTGTATGGTGAGTACAATGGTAGAAAGGGACAATTTCCAGCAAATTATGTTAATAGACTTCCGCATAATATCTAAATATTTTCTCAATATTTTGTATTAAAATATTAACAAATTATTATTCTGGAAATCTTCGTATTGCAAACATTTAGAATTATCAATTGTATCTTTATAAATCAATATTAAGAATAGTGGAAAAAGGGAAATATAAAAATGAATTTTGTATGATCGTGTACAAATTAAAAAAAAATTCAAATTTTAGAAAACTTTATCAATGGAAAGACTGAATTACACATACGATTTTTATTGTCGTGTTCTAATAACAATAATCTTTGAAAGTATAATCACAATATATTATCTTTAGGAATCAAAAGATAACATTTCTTACGATGTTATTGATAAAATGTACAATTTGTTTAATCTTTCTAAAAATTTTGCACTTTATATTGTTTGCAATATTTTGTAAAAATTGCTATTGTAGCAAATCATGTATAAAGTTTCCCTGTTTCTTATTTTTAAAACTTTATGAATCTACATGGTTGAGAGAATTTTTACCAAATATTTTATATATGCCTTATATTTCTTTAATTATACAAAAAAAAAACAAAAACATCTATTTCTTTATTTTCTTATTATACACATATTTTGTCCGAAATTGGTTCAAATTTTCTTTATATTGTACATCTGGTTTTCAAAAATTTATTTTAAATATAATATTTCAAAATCTATTTCCAGAGAATTTTTTTACTTACAAAGACATCTTTACAATAATATATTTAAAAGCTTATTTTCTAATACATACAAAAGATACTCATTTTTTGTCATTAATCAATTTAAACATTAATTTCATATAAGGCATACAATAACTGATTCGCCAAGGTTTATGAATGATTGCAAATCGATTTTAGTTTAAGTGTTTGCTTCCAGTGTGTTAATTAAAAAGTTAATTTTTGATAGTCAGTTTTATAAATAACCAAATGAAGAATAATATACTTTATTAAAATTAATTTAAATAGAATATTATATTTTAGAATATATTTTAGTGAAATTTAGCACACAAATACAGAGTTATAACTTTTGTGTTGTACATATTATTTGAATTTAATACATCTGTAAAAATAGAAAATTATTCTATATATCTTCCTAGTTATGCGCTCTATATATATAAATTTTCTTTTAAGAATAAATTATAAATGAGGAAAATGATTATACGTCTCTGTACAAATAAATATGTTTTATATTTATACCATCACATTTACTATATTTTGAATTAATTTAGAACTTATTTCAGTTGAGTTACCAGTGAATCGTAATTGATAATACACTTATAAATATGTATTACATGAGTGCATAATGGGAGATAAGGATACATAGCTTTAGATAATTATTCATTTGCCCTAATTTAAGATGAGTAAACTTTTTATGTATGTATATTTAATTATAAATATATGTGAATTGTGTAATTATGCTTGATAAAAATTGTTCAGTAGGTACATTAAATATTAGAATTTTTCATTATATGCAGAAATTTGTTAAGTCATTGGCTAAATTTTATAAAGAAGAAAATCAAAATTATTAAAGCTCTATATCCTACCGAAAAAAATATAAATATTAATTATATATATATATATATATTAATTATATATATATTAATTTACTCAAGAAATTCTCATTAGCACAGTATTAGCACGATATTCTAGTTACATCAAAGGTCTGCTTTGGGACCAGGATCTTAGTTTATAAGATGAGATTAGGAAAGATAATAGCAAGTGATAATAGCAAAATTGATAGTTATATTTAAAGTATAATACAAATTTTTATCATGTAATTAAAATGCTAATTCTTAAAAATTACGCTGTTTTGCAAGGAATACCTAATGTGCAATGTGATATTTTGCAATGTTTAATATGTAAACATTTCACATACATATATGCAAAATAAACTAAAGAAAAAATAAATAAATTTTCCTGTATCTATCTGAATAAATCCTGTATCTATCTAAATAAGAATTAATTAAGAAAATATGGACGTATAAGAAAATTATTATTTGTGAATTTCGAGTTGAATATATGATTTTTTTATAACAAAAGATAAGTATGAGTGTGGTATGTAACATTTTTCTTGAAGATAGAGTTTCTTTTTGTAAAATATATTTTATTTTTATAACTAATAATATTGCTATTTCTTTCGATGATGACTTACGAGTTAATTCGTTATAAATTTTATAAAACTTTCTTATATGAATAATCAATAACAAGTTACCGATGGATATAAAAAGCAACGGTAACTATGCAAACAGGGCGTACAAGTACATAGCGTTGCCCATAGTTTTATTTTCTCCTAACATGATACACATCGAAAATGCTGTCAGTCTCGTATCCTATAATTTATAATTCATTAGAGAAATAATAACACATAACAATAATAATGTAACTGAGTTGCAAATGATAAAAAAATAATACGATTATGAGAATATACTTTACTATCAGAGTACAACATTGTTAAGGATATTATAAAACTAATGCAAATTAAAATTGTAATAATTATAACTACGGAACAATTCTGGCGACCGCGAGCTTCAAATTGGGATAATGTCCATGTAAGAACAATGATCAATCAAGTCGATATAAATTGGAAAAGTTCCTTGCTCCTTGAACTCCGTGTCACATAAGAATCAGCTGTTTTGAAAAAAAAATATTATCTTGAATACTATACCTGTTTAATTCTTCTGTTCAATAAATATTTTTCTTTAATATGCTATAATTATTTAATTTATGCGTATACGAAGAATTAAGAATCGATTAAATTAAAATATTTAATCGATAACTTTTTTGTAGTAGGAGAGAATCGAACAAAGGGATATGCAATTATGAAATATGATATGATATACCTTCTGATATGAATAAGTTTAAAATATATAAATATTTGAATGTATATTATGTAGTTGTAAAACTTTATTTTCAAACCGAAAAAACACAGTTAACATAGTACACAAATTTACATGGTTAACAGAAGACATACGAAATATAATCATAGCATAAAATTAGTCGTCGTATAACAAATTGCATATCAATTGTTAAAAATAAAAGCTTGCCTTTAATAATATATCTGCTTACATTTCTTGAGTCTCACATTGTCGCATCAATAAACATTATAATCCTCTAAAAGGATAATTTTTCTATCCATCGCAAATTGGTGATATGCTATTTCGATTCGTCATATAATCTTATGCAATGGCTTTGCGATTTGCGAATATTCTTATTTATGCGCAATGTATAGAGGAACCACTCTCATTCTATACAAATATATTTCTTAACATATAATATTTACATTTATGATTCACACAAATTTACGAGTGAAAGGCACATGTTGAAACCACGATAGCTTGATAATAATTTTGCTACTTAACCATTCTTGCACCAAGAATGTCTTGCAACTACAATTCTTCTCTATATCGGCTTTAAAATGTTACATAAATAAATGCCTTAGCAAGTTACAACTCTAATATAACTAAACTATGTATGTAATACATGTGTATGATATGCGATGTTCTACAATTCGTATTAATCTGCTGTTAATGATATCTTCCAGTGTGATATTAATGATTTAATTTACACAAAAAATATTTAATCTGAAACATAACTTTATTATATATTCAATACCAAATCGTAAATTCTCTTCAGATTTTTCCCAATAATCATTATTCATTGCCCTTTTCACACATTTCTTTCTGTGTCTATCAAAAATATATTCTTTTCCTCCAATATTCTGCAATTTAATCATCGATATTATATAAATGTTGCCACATTATACATTCGACCGATTCATCATATCTTATTTACATTATTATTATATTCTTACACATCTTGTCACAAAACACCGACATTTTCATTTAAAAAATTCAACTCCTGTTCTAAGAAAAAATATTTCCGATCCTTCGATGATACTTGATCTCTTAAGTAACGATAAACAAAAGATCTGAGATGCAAACCAATTTCGAGTAATAATTGGTTTCTCCATGCGATATACATCTGCATTTTTATAATTCAATATAAATATATGCTTATATGTAGCGCATGATATGAGCAAATGGAAGAATCTTTTTTTCGAGTGATGCTTTGATATTTCTTTGCATACATCTAACATGTACAATATTAGCTGAGCTTCTCTATAAAACAATGCAAGTTGAAAAATAGTTCAGATTATAGAAGTATATTTGTTTAAAATGCATAGTTTCTAAAGTGAATGAACTAGTTAATTGTTATCAAACTAATTATCTGATAAGCTACGCATAAACATCAATAGTCTATATCTACATTTAAACTATGTAAACTATGTGTTGCCTTGTATATTATTTAAATAGATAATTTACGCAATTTACGTTTATAATTTGCTTTCTTTCTTGTTTCGAAATAAGAGAAAGACCTTTCTTTAAAATACATATAATTTTTATATTTGGTTGACAATGACGTTATTTTATTTGAACATCATTCGCACATTGTTGTATTTAAAATAATTATTAATTTATGTGGAAAGATAAAAATTAATGAAAAATAATTACGTTGGTTTCTCTACAAAGTTTACATAGTTTATAATCTATGCGAGGAAAAGATTATATAAATTTTCACATAAACATATATATATATATATATATATATATATATATATATATATATATATATATGTATAAGCCATGTAAAAAAAACTTAATTTTTTAGTATACAATGCCTAATAATCTATAATCGTATACTAAAAAATTAATAAATTAATAAAGTGCAATTATATTAATTGCATTACATCATTTTTTGCAATTACATCATTTTTTCGATACTTGGTATACGTATTTTAAAAAAACATAATTAGACCGTATTTACTGAAATAGAAACGCGAGCATGAGAGAATAAAGTTTGCTTCTATTCGTCGATAAATTAAGTAATCTTTATTCCTAAAAAATACGCGAGAATTGTTTTTATACATGGTTTAGAACCATACTTTGTCTCTCACTTTGCCCAATTTTATAACACAGCCTTATTTTTATCATATACTATCAAGAGGATTTTGATAGCCAGTTTAGAAAGCACATATGCACGGTTCCATTACACAGTACATCTCGGTCTATATATATATAATTCAATGTTTGTTCGATAAATCGATTAGAGGGACATTACATATAGAAATACTGATACTTTACTCGCTTTGTAGGATTATCGGAAAAAATAATATTTGCGTAACAGTATCGATCGTATATCCGCTCGAAAATATAATAGCGTGATTTTTATGAGATCACGATTTATAACGATCTTATTATTTGACGTATCATTAACTATTCAACAGATCATAGAGAGTATAATCGTTCCATATTACCTCCACTGAGTGTAATGAGAAATCTGTATAAATAATTCTATTTGTTTCATTTTTTAAGATACTAATGATTAATGGATTATGTTCTACAGTTTGTGATTGAAATCAGATATGGCAATATATCGTTTCTTATTAATCTACATGACACGGATGCCTCTATTAATGCAACGTTTTTCACTTTGTCTTAATTATTCTATAGAATAAGTACAAATATTAGAGAAACAGAGTAAATCTGGTATTTTGTAAAAGGCTTTAATGTAGAGAACCTCATGAGATAAAGCACGGGCGTTATGTGTAGTGTTTGCAATACACATTTGAATTCAAAACTAGTCTTTTGTTCTCGATCACAGCCACTGAACAGTAAACAGAAACATTTTCTAGTAGTTTTTTACATGCATTTGCATACTTTCCTATAACCTTTTTCCCTTTTGCAAGCGCCTGGTGATGAGTAAATTCATTCGTTTTAGTATCGATTAGCATAAAGCCAACAATGTAGAGCTGATAACAGCTGCATTATCGCATGTAAAACAAGTTATTAATGGAGAAATATCTGTGCAGAATCATTAAATTGTAATGTAAAATAGTGCCAACACAACACCAAGTTCCTTGATGCTTTACATGAGAGATGTCATCCTGGTATTCTATCCCTGTTTTATACAGGTAAAAATCATTAATAAGAATAAGATAAACAGTACCATCATAGCAGCATCATTTTAGTAAATTGAAAATTATAAAACTTTTTAAATTTACAAAATTAAAATTTATTGAGATAACAATTTTTCTATTTTTCTTAAGATATAAAATTTAGATATTAATTAAAATAAAACAGATTTATGTGATTAATAAATGTCCCTGCAGCAAATTTTATAATCATTGACCCAAAGCCACAAGGACAAAAAATTATAGCAATATATATATATACATATAAATTCATAACATTGGTTTTTTTTTATCATGAAACAAGAACCAATAAATTTCAAGGTAATTTTTCCGATATTTCTTATGTTCTTCAATATAATTTTAATTGTGCTATTTGATAAATGTACTATTTACCTTATTATTAGATATTGTTGTGTTTCATAACTAAAATTTTCTTTTAGCGTTATTTCATTTTTATACTTTATCGATATTTTATATTTTTATCAACGAGTTTGTGTGTATGCTATCTATATTTTTTGGAATCTACATTAATTACCTTAATTGCATATAACAACGCGCGCTTTCTTACTTCGGATGTTTCGTTCATGTTAAAATATCTCGTCAAATTTGTATCAGAAAGTAAAGCTGCGCTTTACATGTCATACTTTCTAATATCACCGTGGTAAGAAATTAACTTATAGTTAAAATAAGTTTCTATATGTGTATATATATATATATATATATATATATATATATATATATATATATCTATACACACGTACGTATGTACAACGTGTATGTGTTGTATTACACATAATTAGACTGATTTATTAGCGAAACTTTTTCATTTTTGCTTTATTATCTGCATTTTAATATGTTCGTTGTACTGAATCAGATTAATTTCTCACCTGAATGCTTAAATTCTAGTTGACGAGTACAGATTGCTGTACATTACAAGGAACTTAGTAAGCATTATTTGAGATTATTATATTTATGCAATTAAAAAAAAAAGGACAAATAAATTATCGAGCGGTGTTCTCAATGCGAAAAATATTTAGTAACAATAAAGAAAATGATGAAAACTAGACGGTGATGTAATTCATAAAATTTCAAATTCAGTAACAAAACTTTTAATATAAAGAATATCTATGAAATAAATAATCATCTAATTTTTATTTATATTTTTCCGATTTAAATCAATTATGAATAAATAGCTGTCTCTTTTTATTTTTATTTTTTTTTTGATAATTAAAATTTCATTATTATATGTCAAATTATTGTACTGTGCATTCCTACTCATGATATTTACAAAAATATGCATTAGATAAGTACCAGAAAGAGTACCTGTATCATTGTAGCGGCACTTTCTGTTCTGCATTTCTCTGCATGTAAGTTGCATTGCACAATATTTATATTGATGTATTATTAATTGCACAATTTAAATATGCTTTATATTGTTTACTTAGTCGGGCTTATAGATTGGAATCTTTGGAATAAATTCAATTAGAAGAACCTGTAATACCAAGAAAAAAAAACAGTTAACATTAAGTTTACTAATAGACATATATCGTATTATTCTAGATTAATATAATTCTGTAATATCTTACGTATTCCATCATAGAAGAGCTATCGCATCTCTGTTTTGCCAATCTCCAATGCAATCCAAGTTTATGGTAAAGCCGACTATTTTCCCATTCTAATAATTTGTTTAATGAGTGTTGAGTCTATATAAAAGACAATATATATACATTTAAATATTTATTTCATAAATGCTATTTCATAAAAGTCTTAAATTTCAACTGATACCAATGTCTTACCCTTTTACTCAAACAAATGACAGGCCACAGAGAACATCCTAGGGTACAGCAGCAGCATACACAACCGCAGAATAACCACTTAACATTAACGGGTAAAGTTTTTTTCAGTACACTATTTATTCTCATAACGGTTGCTTTAAATTCTTCTGGTGCCACCCGGGATATGAGGCCATTAGGAAACTCCGATTCAAAACGATTACTGAGACCGAATCTAAAAAAAGAAAAAGATAGATTAATAATTTTCTTCCAACATATGAATAATCATACAGACATCAATCTAAAATTAAGAATTAATCATTAGATAAGAACTTTTAATGAAAGGCCTTTTAAATAAAGCTAAATATAACATTACATGCTTTTTTGTACACGAATAATGAGTCATGGATTTATCTAATCTTAAAAGACGCTTTGAAACTCAGAATGTCAATATAGCTAATAAAATTTTATTAAAGATAGAAGACAGAAATAATTTTTGTTATATATGTGTACATATTAAAATAATATTATTTTAAATTATACAGATTAGATATATTTAAAGAATATTGTTTATCAATTCCAGAAACAATAATGCATAAATAACTTTTTATCAGAAATAAGAGTAATTTATCACAAACATCCACATATTTACATGCGATTAAAAGTGAAGGTAAACATCAGATAATGCACAGATCTCTATCGACAACAGATGTATTTTATAGTCATGTGTATATGTATATGTATATATGCAAAACATCTGCTTTATTTTCCTCGCTTATCGATGAAAAAAATTATTCACTCGATTTTAATTATTTAGATTGACGGCATAATGAATTCGATTACACGGACGTACATGCAAAACAATTCGAGCGATCGCGTTAAAAATGCATTCGTCATTATGGAAAAATCGCCTTATCGATCCGCAATGTCAATAACGACGACGACGAGACGCGCGTCGTCGCGCGTTGCAAGACGTCAAAAAAATTGACCGAAATCAGGTGATCCATTGTTTGCCTCCCTTTGTGAAAGAGTGCGCGAATCCTTCTTCTCCTCCCCCTTCTCCCCCATCTTCTCGAGACAACAAAGAACTCTTTCCCTGTACATCCTGAACGGATGTCATCGTACGTACACACGCGCACACAATTCCACCCGATGTCAACTTACACCGTCATATTGCCAGCCCCGCGGATGACAATTGGATCCGGCACCATCGCGACGTAATGCTCCTCCAAATTCTGCTCGTTCTCCTCCTCCTCTTCCTCGTAGATCGCGTCGAAATCCGCCATCGCCGCTACGAATTCGCCGATTCCCGCGAACGCGTGAAGCGTACAGCATATAAAGCAACAGCGCGCGACCTTCTTCGTGAACGCGTCTCTTCCGCCCCGACTCGGGCCAGGTCGACGTGATGCTCCCGGAGCGCGTTCCTCGCTCACATTCCCGCCGCGAAGAGCTTCCGGCTCGTCGTCGTGCTCGTCCTCTCGCGATCCTCGCGAGCGCCGATCATCTCCGGAACACCCACGACTCCGGACTAGGCCAACCGCTAGGCTCTCGCTCGACGACGACGACGATGGGATTCGCGACACTCTCCAGTGTTTGCGTAAATACGACGGACACGCTCATCCGCTGCACAACCGCACCGTGCACGACGCGCACTGCGGATATACGCGATAACGCGATGTGTTCACACAGCTCGTCAATTTTTTCCTCGCTGCGATTCCAGGCCCGCCAACGTGACAGCCGCGCGCGCACGTGTCAGCCCTGCTCCACATTTGAATGGCATGAATATCAGTTCAATGGTGTCATCAAGAGCATTGATAGGATTCTCCTCCCTCTTCGAATTTCTCCTCTTCCTTTCCAGCAGGTATTTCCATATTTCCGTAAGCTGTAACATAATTAATTCAGGTTAATCTTTGCTTAAATGAATTTGTAATTTTTATTTGGTCCTCCAATATAAGATATGTAAATGATGTTTTTGAAATAATGTGTAAATGATGTAAATGATGTTTTTGAATAACAATTCTTTTCTCCCTCAAATTGCGTTATCGTAAAGATACGTTTTATTAAATTCTCTTTGTTATTAAGCGAGAAGATAATTGTGAATTATTATTTAATAATCTTTGAATTTACCATTTTCATCTGTGTTGATTTATTATCTGTTGAGCGGTCTACTCGTAAGATAATTTTCTCTTTTAATATGAAAATGATAAAATAAAGAAAGTTATGACAATAATATCAAGGTTAAAACACGGTTGAAACAGCAATATAAGTATTATTGACGATAATATTGAATATTTGTATTATTTTGTTGAATGAAAATAAAAATGAGATAAAATCTTGTAGGTCTAATTTTGTCAAGATGTAAAATTAAATCTGTACCGACTGTTAAACTTTTTCAATTAATTCATCGATAGTTCTCGAATGAAACATACGATGGCGATAGTGTTTCGATACGTCATTTGCATTGACACGCGCGCACAATATCACCGTGTAATTTAATATTATTTTATACTAAACAAAGTGATCGCATCATTGCTTTGTAAGTACATATCATTGTTATGTATATTTATTAGTTTAGATTATGTATAATCTTATCAATACGAAGTATATACAATATGATATATAAGAGACGGAGAGAGAGAGAAGCAACAATTAGCAGTTTCGAAATCAGTATGCGTCGTTCAATAATGATGATTTGCAAGAAAGTTGGATGACACAAATTATTTGCAAAGTGTCATTGTTTTGTATTACTCGCGATTACATTGTATTTCACAATCTCGTCAACTTGCAGCAATCGCAAAACACATGTGCAAATACTTTTCCTTTAGTCGACCCTCATTAATCGATACTTTATAAAAAAATATCGATTAAAGAGGATGCATTGAAAGAAAAATATTTGCAAATCATTACTTTATTTTATTTTCATATATATGTATATAGTCGATTTCTAAGAATAGCGCATCTGCAAATATATATTTTTATTATCTTTTAATCTGTCTTTATTAATCAATATTTTACTTTGTCAAAAATATCAATTAAAGAGGATCGATTAAATGAAAAGTATTTATAAATTATTGCTTTATTATTTTACTTTCATATATCTCATCGATTTGTAAGAGTGATGCATGTGTAAGTATTTTTCTTTAATTACTCCTTATTAATCGATATTTTATTGTGTCAAAAAATATCGAATAAAGAGGACGATTAAAAGAAAAGTATTTGTAAATCATTGCTTTATTTTACTTTCATATATCTCGCCGATTTCTAAGAATAACGCATGTGCAAATATACATTTTTCTCTTAATCGGGGTCCTCGTTAATCGATATTTTACTCCATTAGAAAATATCAATTAAAGAAGATCGATTAAAAGAAAAAAATATGCTATTCTTACAAGTCGGTGAGATATATGAAATATAATGTAATTGCAAGCAAAGTATAAAGCAATGATTGATAGTTTGCAAATAATTCGTCCGACTTTCCTGCAGATCATCGTATCGCATTATTTAACAGCGTGCATATCGTGCTCCGAGCGTAACTGTGTTCCTCGAACGTGTACATAGTAATCACGGACGCTCGGTACAGTTAAAATGTGATTAAAGCGGTTACGGATGAGAGTCGCCGGCGTGATTGCGGCGCCGATAAAAATCGCGGCGAAACAGAGGCGAGGAAAGGTGATGAGATACGATTTATAATTGTCCGACGTAAATGCAGAACGGAGTTGCCTGTCCGGACAGCTATTACCGCAAAGCTATAGCGGAATATACGCGGGAAGTTTCTTCTCTCTCAGATTTCAACCGCCTGCCTCGGTGACGATCCGCCGTGATTGCAGCTTCCCGAATGCACCGGCGCGATTTGCGACACGCGAAAATGTGGAGAAATTGCGAGACACGCTTTTAGCTATTAATCGCGCCGAAAAAAGTCGTGTAGCTGATACGATAATGAGGGAGACTGATATGTAAATCGATAAGCGAAAGCGCCTCTTTTTTCATTCTTCGTGAATTAAAATTCTGCATCCATGTAATCTTAATTATTGAAAGAAACGTGAAGAAACTGAATAAAAGAAGCAAAAGTGAAAGGAGCGATTTTGCATGCACAAAGAATAATTCTTGAATTTTAGATGTCAAATAAATATCGATAAAAAACTGACAATAAGAATTGTCAATGAAAAAATTCTTAAAAGCTCATTTCTATCCATCGTGACAGCAATGAATTTCAGGATGATATTACGTACTGTACAGTCGCATACTTTTCAATTAGAAATAATTTTTTATTACCACTTCTTATTAACAATTTGAGAAAATTATAATTAAAACTCTACCCCCTAAGTATCGTCATTTTGTCCTGGATTCTCACAAATAACTCGGTGTGTATAATTTGTGATAATTTTGAGCTGGTGTAATTTAGCACAAAGAGTGGATCTTCTTTCTTAATACAAAGGGTTTCGTTGCTTTATGCTTGCGAAGAATTGTTCCAGCCGAACACTAGGTTAATTCAGCTGATAATAAGCGCGCTTTTATGTACCAGCAGACGTACCATTTTTATACATTTTTACACGGCAATTTTACGGTCTGCTGAAGCGACTATATATGGAGAGAGATGCAGTCATGGCATCCTTCAACTCGTCTTTCACGTGTAATTCATACAAAAATTTGAGAGTCGTGAGAATTTACAAAATTATTTTGCGCATTATGTAAAATATTCAAAATGTCCAAAAGAATAATTGACATTTTTATTAATTGCATTGACATTTTTTATACGAATTGTATTATTTATTATCAATTTATATAATATATTTTATATATTTCTTTAGAAAAGACAGGTAAATTAATTTGCACAAATGTGCACGATAAAAAATACAATTGCATCAGTTAATGTATCTTGATATTATACATAAACACGTTCTCGCAGCGAAAGTAGTTGGTCACGATTTAGCATCGCTCATTAACCTCGCTAATAGTCTACATCATCAGGAAATTGATTTCATCTTAATTTTAACACCATCTTGTCCGCGAGAGATACAGTTTTATAATCAAATTTTAAAATCAAATTATATGGAATAATTAAATCTTCGAGTGAAAACTATTACAGATCATATGCATTAATGATGTACGTGGAAAATGTAAAATATCGAATTAATCGATTCTCTTTTGATTTTTTATAGAAATTAAAATTAAATTATTTAAATTATTAAAACTATTGAAATTAAATATTAAAAAGAAGCTACAAATATTATAATATTTTAAAATAGTAATAATAAATATTATAATATTTTAAAAATAGTTTTTAATGATTCTAATTTTCATTTTTTTTTTGCAGTGATTTTTATGTGGTCAACGTGCAAAGTCAATGTGATCAATGTGGCATGGTCAACGTGAAAACAGCGTACTGCAATTCAAAGAGTGGCACCACGTCTCGAAAAGCAGAAATCTCAAGATTAAGATAATCTCGGAATCAGGTAAATAGACCATTAATCCTCGACGATTTTAAATCAAATGACAATTTATTTCTGGCACTTGCAACCCTGTCTGTCTCTCGAATCTTCAAACATTGATGCTACCGTCGACCGCCGTGCACGACGGTTGATCCAAGCCTGTAGATAAACACGAGAGAACGTTTTACGCGGAGCGCGACGTCTTCCTTTCCCTTCGCGTCGTAGAGGGGATTAAAAAGACGGCGATTAGTCAAGCGAAATCGTCCATCGCGTCTGAACATACGAAGAACACATGCGACTTGAGTTACGCGGTACCTCTCGAAATAGAGAAAGAAAGAGAGAGAAAGACCAGGGGGGCAGGGGGAGGGGGAAAAGAGAGAAGGTAGCGGTAGGGGAAGTCGACGAGACCGAAAGTACCGACTCGACATTCTTTTCGGCTAACCGCCTACTTAATTAAAACAACATTAAGCCGGCCGGCTTGCGCCGAGAACGATGCTGTCCATGGACCGTGCAGCAGACAGACGAAACGAGAAAGAGTTGCGGTGGAACGCGAATGGGTGGGAGGGAGGATAGTTGCAAAGCGGCTTTTAAATCTCGACTGCAACTGCTGCCGCTACTGCTGCTGCGGCTGCTGCATCGGCTCGTAAAGTCCGCGCTGCTTATTAAATTAGTTATGTCCAATCGATTCGTGGATTTTGTTGAATCGCAATTTCGGAGATCGAGAGAGGCGGGATGGTCGTTCGAGAAACTTATCAATGCGTTTCTTCCAATAAGAATGTCACAGGAGGAATAGAAAGAGAGAGAGAGAGAGAGAGAGAGAGAGAGAGAAAGAGAGAGAGGGATGAGAAATTTTGCTTCTTTATTTTTCTTTCCCGTATCGTCCAATTTATATGCGGCGTGTCGTAAGTTAGGCTTATTAATTTACGCGCACCTGTCGGACGGATTGGGCAACCGTGACGCATTTGTTACTGGAATTTGGCAACGTTTTGCGTCATGTGTCACGACGCCTCTACACTTCGGTTAGTTGCCGACTATTAACAACCGCTGGTTACTTAACGCGATACATTTTCGTGCGTGCGAAATGCCGAGAAACACGTAAAAATGACGGGAAAGCAAGTTTGCTAAATCGTGTGTGAACATGCGAACCTCAAGAATCATGCTGCCTGCCATTTATTTATTATCTGGTGTTCATTCAAATCTTTTCTGTCAGAAGCGTTGTATTAAATCAAATAATTATTAGATGTCGATAAAAGTGGCAGAAAACAATTTTCATGACAGATAATTATAATATAATTAATTGAAGGCATTTAAGATTAAAAAATACAATCTTCAAGTTTTATTTATCATAAGAATATTTGATGTATATTAACTTAAATTAGGAATTTATTTAAATTTAAACTAAATATACATTTTTGCAACACACCTATTTAAAGGAAGATTACGTGTATTTTCA